TCTGTATCGGTGATCGTATTGGCAGATACTGCTTTCTGTGATCGGCGTCAAAAATCCTGATCGGAGCACCCCTAATTGGAATGATTTCTGAATGATCATGTGACACTGAAGACTGGCGTAATGATGCTGAAAATTCAGCTTTGCATCACAGGAATAAGTTTAAATGTAAAATATATTCTATTTATTTAAAATTATAATAATATTTATTTACTGTAAATCATTTACTGTATATTTCACCAAATAAATGCATCAATAGTGAGCATATAAGACTTTCAAGAATGTCCAAAGATCTTTTGAACAGCAGCCTATGTGTACTTGTTGTGTTAGCCAGTTTGTTTATACCTACATGTAAAGAAGTGCATTAAACATATTTCATAAATGGCATTCACACGTGCATTTTTTATTTAACTTTTTGTCTTAATTTTTCAAATAATCTTTTCTTTTTTTTTTATCCTTTCAATCTCATTAGGCTCATTAGATATTGAGAAAACCAAAGCTCTATACAGAGACCTGGTGTCCGTGTTTGATAAGGTGGTGCTCCCCACTCACGCTTCCTGTCATGTGCAGTACTACATGTTCTACCTGTGCAGCTTCCGCCTGGTAGGTTCCCACGTCTCTCTCATTCTTAAAGAAACAAACAAAAACATAACTTTAATCTCTTTTGTTTAGGGTTTGGCTGAAGCTTTTTTGGATCACTTATGGAAGATGTTACACGCCCCCAACCAGCCCCCCGTCCTGAGACAGGCCGCTGCTGGATACATGGGCAGCTTCATGGCAAGAGCCAAGTTTTTGACAGTATCGTATGTGACCTTTATCATGCCGTTTTATCTTATCTAATGCAGCGGAGTTCAATATTTAATCATCTTTCCTGGCAGTGGTTTGTTACCACGATTAAGTAATTAAACATTAATGACTCTTTGTTGTCATCTGGAAAAGAAAAAGGGTTGATTGGACGCAGATACCTGTATTTGTCACACATCATTTGAAACCTACATGTCAAAACTGGTGCTGTAGAGTTTCCTCTCTTCCACAGGACAGTCAAGGCCTGTCTGGACCTGTTGGTTCCCTGGTTGCACCTTTATATTAACAGTCAGGACTCAGGATCCAAAGCATTCTGTGACGTCAATCTGCACGGCTCTTTTTATACAGCCTGCCAGGCTGTGTTTTACACACTCATCTTCAGACACAATGCCATCCTGGAGGGCAATATGAAGAAAGGTCAGTGCATGTGGAATTTAGCTGTTTAGAAATGAAGCACAGGTGTGAAAATCATTTGAGATGCTAAAACTTTTTTTCGTTTGTTTCAAGTCTGGGTCAATTGCACAATTTTTTTGCCCTGATCTTTTAATTTATTAAAGTAATCATGCAAACAATGATCTGAATTCACCACTTTTAGAATGTATTTGTATTTTATTACTGAATTTCTGTTTCATTTGAGTATTTTGGGGGTCATAAAAAAAAAAAAAAAAATGTTGCAGTGATCTATCTATCTGTTCTTATAAGCAAGGAAAAAAGCCTCTTAAAAAAAAACAAAGTGCTTGAAAAAAACTTTAGTTTGGCATGTTTTATAAATATTTCTTAGAAAAATTATTTTTAACAAAAATGCTTCACTGCTTAATATTTGAAAAAAACGTTTGTCTTCCAAATCAATGTCATGTGGTCTGACTCCATCCAACATGCACAAAAAAACAAAAAGAAAAACTTTCATACTTTTTACAGCAAGGAAAGGTCAGTTCAAGGTATAAAATGTTGTGTGATGGCCAAACAACATGTTTTTAATTTATAATTAATTTAAAATTAATTTATAATTTTAAATTAAAATTAATATTAACTAGTGCTGTCAAACGATTAATCACGATTAATTGCATCCAAAATAAAAGTTTTTGTTTACATAATGTGTTTGTACTGTGTATATTTATTATGTATATATAAAGACACACACATGTATTTACATGTGTATATTTATATTCATATAAATGATATCATATATAAATATATTTAATATATAAACGAATATAAACAAACATATTTTTCTTAAATATATACATGCATGTGTTTTTATATATACATAATAAATATACACGGTACACGCACATATATTATGTAAACAAAATCTTTTATTTTGGATGCGATTAATCGCGATTAATCGTTTGACAGCACTAATTTATTAACACTTCATTTTAGTGTCCTTGTTACACGTTACATGTACTTACTGTAGTAATTACAGTAAATTATGCATAATTACATGAAACTAACCCTAAAAGAAACCTCTAATCATAAACTTAGCACTGTAGTAAGTACATATTACTAATATTACTCAGTATTTAAATGTACAATTAAACTCTAACAAAGACACCTTAAATTAATAATTCATGATGTTTAATAAAAAGGCATGTTAATTTTTAGAGTCATAAAACGAATTTTTTTTTACAAAAACTTTTTCATTTAATGAAAACTAACATAAATAGAAAAGCATTTGACAAGAAGTTCACAAATGTGTTTCAAACTAGACTTCTCGTTTTCTGTATCATTTGTCCTCGACCCTTTGCAGGGTTGGCGTACCTTCAGGGTTTGAATCTCGAGCGTATAGTGATGTGCCAGCTCAACCCGCTGAGGGTCTGTCTGCCTGCTGTCACCAACATGTTTGCAGCCATCACCAGGTACAGCACAAGAGCTCGATCATCAGATTACAAAACTGAAATAATGAAATAAAAGCATGACAAATGAGGGCAATTTTACCCATCTGTTGGCAGGAAGTACCAGCTCGTCTTCTGTTACACCATCATTGAGCGAAACAACCGGAACCTGTTGCCAGTGGTGAGCAATTCAACAGGCGGCAACTCGGTGTCCACTAACACAAACCCTCTGGATACCTTCTTCCCTTTTGATCCGTATCTCCTGAAAAGGTAACAAATTCATGCTCATTCCTGTCAAACTCAGCCTTGGAATGCTAGTTCACTAAAAATCATTTATTTGTCTTATTTATAATTTTTTACAACAGCTCTGGAAAACTCATTGAGCCAATCTACCAGGTGTGGGAGGAGCCATCCGATTGTATGATACATGTGCCCAAGAAGAAAGTGAGAAAGGTGATACACGTTCCCAGTGGCCACAAAGAGGAATTAGATATTTCAAATATTTTGTCTTTTTGAGTTTAATTTTGTCTGCACATTCAGGCAATTTTGAGTGTCCATATACTTTTTTTTGAAGCCACCATAAGAAAACTGACTCTTTTTGGCTCATCTCAGTAGTTTAGCCTCTTCGGGGGATATCCAATAACACTTTGATCATCTCTCACAGGGATCTATGGAGGAGGAAGATGACTTTCTGCATGGAGGAACACCTCATGGTGACTCCGTAGTGGGCATGACTCCGGGCTCTTATGACTCCCATCTGCACAGTCCGCGGAGCGTTGGCTCTCCCCCTGTCTCCTTCCTGCAGCGGCCTTTCTGATCCACTGCTGTAGCACTCAGCTGGTCACAGATGGGCTGCTCGGCCCAACATCACACCAGGAGGGGGCGCTCAAGAACTGCTTGTGCTTGTGTTAGCAGCACAGATCTGACTAGAGCCCTTCACACAGCAGCATTACTGACCCCAGTGTTTGGCAGTAGTTTTACTAAACCCTCTACTTCACTTTAAGACTGCATCATAAAATACAAATATGTGCTTATTGCACACTTGTGCTATATTAATAGTAAAATGAAAGAAACATTGGTGGTTTCTCAAGTAGACAGTCTATTGTATTTTCTGTTTTCAGGACAAACTGTCAGCACAGATGTAGATGAAATTATCACTGTGTACTCAGAGTAAATGTGAGATTTATTTTTGTAATATTTTCAGTTTATTCTGAAATGATTTGAGAGATTAGAATAGGCTGGTGGTGTGTTTCAATGGTAAATGGGTGTCACTTCCCATGTTATGAGTTTGAGCTCTGACTAAACCAGTGTCTGTTTGCACAAAATATTCTGTAGAAAATTGACATACAGAGAATACCTTCATTTAACGATGGTTTTCTGTGGTGTTTGTTGAAATTTTAACTGTCGTCATCCTTGGCTTATTCAGTACAAATATCAATCAAACCTCCACATTGAATTATACTTTTGCGCTACAGTTTTGAAATGAACATGAAGTAATAAAATGGTCTAGCTGTTTCATTACAATGTGGAAAATATGATCTAATTGTTGACTTTTTAAAAGACGTATTCCTCTTAAAATGTTTATTCTTTTCTTCCAGCAGAAATGTAACATTTAAATTATAATTACAGTGATAATTATAAAGCAAGTTTAATTTGCAGATTAACAAAATGGTCCTTGCCTTAATTTTCTCCGTTGTATGCTTACTAGTAAATAAGTGATACATTCAAGTAAAAAAAAGTTATTTTAAACTGTAATGATATTTCACAGTATTAATGTTTTCACTGTATTTTTGATCACCAAATGAAGCTTTGGTCAGAATTAGAGAGACCAAAGTATAAAACTTAAAAACATTTTTTTAAATAACTTTCAGAAACTTTTAAATGGTATATGTGTGTATATACAGTATACATATATATACACACACACACACATATACATATATGTATATACTAACAAAGTGATGAACCTATGACTATGCATGTTACCATAAAAAGGTAACTGGAAGGTCAAATTCAGTGATGCATCCTTAATAGAAACTGTACAGATGTGCGTAGTCATATATAACCAAAAAAAAAAAGATCCACGCAAGCTGTTGCAGATTACACAAGCATTAAAACTGTGTCAGCATGCAACCCTTGGTAGCCAAATAAATTTTTCAAATATTGTACCATGCGCCAGCTTTGGCTCAACAATGCAGACTGACACGCACGCACTGCTACTCCTGCAGACACGTAAGCATGAGCGTGTCTGTCTGTTGACCACAGTGGATCTGAAAATGACAGACAAATCCTCTAGCATTTTTAAATCTCGGCGCTGTTGAACTGAATTCCACTGCATATAATACAAAAACAAAAACCACATCACACATTTGTTCCGACTTTAATAAAAACATTAAAAGAAAGATATTTAGGCCACACATATGATGCAATCTAGTTAAATCACAGGACTACATGTCAGCATTTGCAAAGCATGTGCTGTTATTAATATCAACAAACCATCTGCATAACCGTACACCTCTGTCCTCAGGAAATGAATGACACCAGCTTATTACACATTGATATAAGTGACTGTAGATCCTATACGGCAAGACAAAACAGCCGAATACAGTGTGCTTATGAAAACAGTAACCCGAACCATGTGCATTGTTCAGCCGAATGGATGCATTCGGGGTGAAACACTGCAATATGACTCCCATTACTCGACACCAGTGCCATGACAAGAAACCCCCCCCCAGAACAATCAGTATAGTCCCAAAGACGCCGAGATGGAGCAATCAACGTCCATCAACGAAACGAACCATGAAGGATCCCCCCAAAGCACTTAACAGACCATAACTGATCGTAATGCAGTGGATGCTGGGTGACATTGGACTGACCTGCACCGCAAATGCGTCCCAGCGTAGACTGACATGATCGGCAAAGACATGAAGAGGACATCGAAGGGTTCGACGGCGAGATTTACAAGGTTTATGATGGCAACCGCGCACACACTTAGAAGCGAGCGTGTCTAAGTGTCTCTGAATAATAAAAGATTTGGACCGAAAATATAAAATCTTTAAAACATCATAGCACTTCTCAGAACAGATACAAATAAGCATCATATCAAATGATGAAGAGTGGGGACTGTCCTGAAGATCCCTAAGTGAAATGTAATACATGAACTGTATAATATACCTAACTCTAATAGAGAGGTTCTGCTTCATCTGCTATAAGTGTTATTGAGACACGGTTGAAATCACATTTGAGCATCTCAAAGTCACCTCTGCTGTTAACAGTGACGTCTATGTTTCAGATTTGAATTCCCTCGGTTGGTTTCTGCCTTTATGTAATGACACTCAGTACTGCTACATGTTAAATATGTACACGGACTGCTTTAAAAAATGAGTATGAGTTTGGTAGAGCTCAGGCGTCTGATAACTGCTTGAAAGAGTACAAACCACACTGCAAATCTTCACAGTCTCTTATTTTCCACGGTATAGTTGCAGATTGACCTTGGTGTTCTGAATGAGCCCGGTTTGTCTGTCCATCCCAGATGCTCTACTAACCTCTCCGCTCTACTGCAGGAGCCCCGAGGACAGGAGGTTGTGGCCACTGAACGAGGCTAGAGGGGAAAAAAGAGAATTATTGCAGGTTAAGTGTGGCATTATGCAAGTCTATAATCTTCTAATGTAAATACTATGAAGAATCTCGTAAGCATGTTTGCGATTGTGTTCCATTCAGAAGTGATATGCATTTGCCATATTCCCTTAAGAGTATACACTTTCCACAGAGAGAGCTTCGGAAGTTAAAAAGGGGTAAAAAAATAACTGTCATTCAGAGTCAATATTACCAACACACGATGGCTGACACTAATGGACAGCTGTTGTACCTTTTGAACATCTGTTGTACCTTTTTTCATTAATAACTTCTTAATAATGTAAACATTTTTTAAAAACTGTTAGACTTTAAGAACACTTAAAAGTTTAATAAGAAAAATTAAGAAAAAAAATATACATTTTAAATGATTAATATAATAATTAAAGCTTAATATAATAAATATATAATATATAATAAAACTTTTAATTTTAATAAGAATAAATAAGAAATTCCTAAAAATTGAATATATTATTTTTAATACTATTCAATTTAATACTATTTAATAATTTAATACTATATAATATTTAGTCATTTAATACTATTTAAATGCACACATATGTATATGTATAAATATGCAGCGTTTACTGAAGAAAAAATATACTTTAAAAATATATATGTATATATTTTTCTTCTTCAGTAAATATATAGTTAAATGAAAATAAAGAAAATATGCTTTATACATTAAATTATATTTATTTTACATAAATATTATTATTTTAATAATACATAAATAAATACATACATACCAGTAAACAAATGTACAGAGCATGTTCAATAAATAAATTATTTAACAATAATCCAGTTAAAATTTCAGAATGATAATTAAAGACTAGTAAAACTAATAAAGACTAATAAAACCGGTTTTGTTTAAAAGAATCTTCTGAAATGCACCCTTGAGCACTTCTGTTAGGATTGACCCTACAACAAGGCTGCCCTTGATTCTCGTTTCAAAATAGCATGATTAATATGATTTAAAACTCTACATGTCTAAAATATGGGCCACGTGACACCTGCTTTGGTGTTTTTCAAAACTCCTTGTCAAACTGGATAACGGAGAGACTTTGCAAGGTTAGCAGTTATAGCGAAGGGTTTCGTGACAGTAAAATGAACATTAGGCCTGAGCTAAACTCAGCTGACAGCAGCAGTTGAAGTGAAAAATGCTGATTGCTTTCTAACACAACAAAAACGGCCACTCGCTCGGAATCACAGTCCTCTTCAGCCTTCACAACGTCTCCCTCTACGTACTGCACTAACGTTGCCAAACAACCAAACATTTTGTGAATAATAATGACATCACTGATGCGAAAACACAAGTTCAAATGAGTTAATTACAATAAAAAGTCCAGAAATTGTCCTAATGTCCCAGATTATGTAAGTCACACTCCACTCGAACAGACTGATGCGGCTTCAAACAATCAGACTAAAGAAGAGGCTTTAAACCGACAGAGCTGTTGATGATCTAGTGCAGTGTTTCCCAACCTTTCTTTAGTCGCGGCACCCTTTGGAAAAACACTGATCTAGTGCACATTTCTCACTCACTGTGGTCCTCAGTGCAAAGTGAGCAGACACCATCTACGAGCACTTTGGCCTCAGCTGCGAGCTGGCAGGCGGGGTCTGGGATCGGGGAGGGTGTGTCGGGGCTGTCGGTCACTGGAGATGCTCGTGCGCACCTGTAGGATGAGGAAGGTAAGTCATGATCTCTGACGGGAGACACACTGCAACTTTCTGGGTTTGTCTTGAGAAACTTACCCACTTTCAATCCCAAATAAGCTGGTATTAGTGAGAACTTCGTGGACATTCTGTAAAAACAGAGCACAAATTTTAAAGCACCACTGATAGCTAGAACAGTGTACTTTAAATTGATAGTTCACCCAAAAATTACGATTCTGTCACGTCGTTCCAATCCTGTATGAATTTATTTCTTCTGCTAAACATAAAAGGAGATATTTTGAGGAATATTGGTACACAGTTGACAGTAGCCATTGACTTGCATAGAATGGAAAGAAAATACTGGAAGTCAGTGGCTACCGTTAACTGTATGGTTTTGTGTTCAACAGAAGAAAAAACTCATACAGGTTTGGAATGACATGATAGGGAGTGAATGATAACCTAATTTGCATTTTTGGGTGAACTAAAGTCAAAAAATGTGTTTGTTTGTGTTTACCTGTGCAAAGCCAAGTAGCTTCTTGTTGGATATCTCCAGATGTTTCCGTGTGAGTTCAGACCTTCTCAACTGGCTGTCAGTGATAGTGAGCCTCCTGTTCAGCTCCATCCCATCCTCCTGTGAAGAAAAAGGCCTTTAAAACCAGTCCATTTATAGTTTACTAAAACTAAAACTATTAAAAATCTTTTTCCTTAATTGAAATAAAGCTGAAATATAACTATTTGATGAAAAGTGCAAAAAACTAGAAATGTTGCTTTAGCAACTAACTGAAATGAAATAAGTTAGTTTAGTACTCCAAGTACTAAAATTACTAAAACTAAAAGTTAAATAAAAATAAAGTTAAATAGATTAAAAAACTAACAAAAATCACAAATTTACTAAAACTAAAATCAAAATGTAAAAAAAACAATTCAAAATTCATAATACTATACAAATACCAAAATAACACTGTTTAAAGCTAGTTAATCACAAACTGTGTTATACTGGATAACAGTTACCTGCCAACTCATTCTAGTCTACAAAAGTTTTCACTCATTGCATCATCTTGTAAATCTTCTTAAAAATAATCTAAATCATTTTTCATCAAACAGAGAGATGTGATGAGGACGATTTACCTTGGTAGCCTCCAGGCCTCTCTGTTTCTTTCCGGCTAGCTGGTTCTTCAGATCTTTGATTTCAGCCTCCAGGAGCTGAATGACCTCCTCATAGTCTTGCTCGGCACTGTTAGTCTGTCTCTGAACAGCCTCTGCTACCTGCAGCTTGCTCTTCAGAGACTTATTCTCCTCCACTGTGGCTGTGGCCTTCTGTTTCATCCATGTACATGGAAATAAGGGAATGCACAAACTGATGAGTGGAGAAATGTCTTAGGGCCAGATTTACTATCAGCCTGTGTCAGCGCAAACCCTCATTTGGCGTTTAAAAACTACTGTCAGGATTTACTAAAAACACACAGTAGGAAAATAGCGCTGAAAATGCGTGGATTTACTAAGATTTGCGCTCGTCAATTCACTTATATTTGTGGCATTATTTAACGCCCAAAAAAAGCATGTCTTAAAGCAGGAGGTAATTTGCGCTGCTCTTGGTAGATTGCGCTGGTCATTATGGAAATGAGATGTTGCATCTGTGTTCTTTAATGTGCGCATTGTCAGGAAATCACCCGCACAATTTTCTCCTCCCATGTGTGCTTTTATGGAATTGCGCTCTTTTTGGCCTGTTTAGTAAATCTTGCCCTTAAATGTTTAAACAAGGTCAGATGTTCATGTGTTTATAACTTATATGTGGTATACACAAATATAGTGAGGTAAAATGGCCATCACAAAGTGCTGATGTATTAAAACAGCTCACATGCCTCTTAATATGTGGATGGCATATTTTGAGGCATTGAAATCACATCAAACAAATCGTGTTTATTTGAGATGCTGCAGGCTTTACCTCAGCCGTCTTCTGCAGTTCCTCCTCCAGAGTCTTCTTGCTGTCTTCTGTGTCTTTCAGTAACACCTGAGAGCATTGCAATAAATGTTCATGTCACAAAGGCTTTCTGCACAGATGTTCAGCTCTGTCTCGCAAAATGTAATCAAAAGTCAAGCAGGGTTCAAAATTACCATGAAATGCAAATTCTCTTCTCTAAATGTATGATATTGATCTTATAGAATGATTCGTCCATGCATATATAATTTTTTTATCGAATTTTTAAAACTTGATTTCCAGTAAAATGATATAGTGATGCATACTAAATGATATAGTGATGCATACTAAATGATATAGTGATGCAAATGATATAATGATGCATACTAAATGATATAGCGATGCATACTAAATGATATAGTGATGCAAATGATATAGTGATGCATATTAAATGATATAGTGATGCATATTAAATGATATAGTGATGCAAATGATATAGTGATGCATATTAAATGATATAGTGATGCATATTAAATGATATAGCGATGCATACTAAATGATATAGTGATGCAAATGATATAGTGATGCATACTAAATGATATAGTGATGCAAATGATATAATGATGCATACTAAATGATATAGCGATGCATACTAAATGATATAGTGATGCAAATGATATAGTGATGCATATTAAATTACATAGTGATGCATACTAAATGATATAGTGATGCATACTAAATGATATAGTGATGCATACTAAATGATATAATGATGCATACTACATGATATAGTGATGCATACTAAATGATATATTGATGCATACTAAATGATATAGTGATGCAAATGATATAGTGATGCATATTAAATTAAATGATATAGTGATGCATACTAAATGATATAATGATGCATACTACATGATATAGTGATGCATACTAAATGATAAACACAATCATTTATAACTCCGCCGCTTTCAGCCTCATACTCACATTTAAATCAACATAAAATGAATAGATCCAAGTTCCCACCCTGCAATTTTTTTATTTTTCAATAATCAGTTTCACTCAATATTTCAATCAATATACATCACAATACAAAACATTTAACTACTTCTACTTAATCATTACTTTTTTGCCATATCAATGGTGGAAAATAGAAAAAATGTAAAAACTTTATTTAACATTGAATCACCTGTCACATTGTGATTTTGTTACTCTTAATTTTGTTTTAGTGGCTTAATGTGAGAAACATTCCCCTACATTTCTTGAAACAAAAAGGTATGAAAGAAAAAACTTGCTAGATAAAGGAAAAAAGTGGTTAAAAATGTTATGAGCAGTTTAATTTGTGTTTCTTAAGATGATTTATGTCTTTTAATCAGTCAGACTAACATTTTAATTTGACTTTAAACAATATGTATTATGTTGTATTTCCTAATGGAGTTATAGGTCAACTTACGAGTAACTTTTTATTAAGTCAATCTTGACTTGCATTTGGCACTTAATGAGTGTTCATTGTGGACCCTACAGGAAGGACGCAACACAATCCAGTGATTACTTCAGTACTCACCTTAAGTTGTTTCATTTGTAGCTGGAGTTGTTTGACTTCAGTCTGAAACTCCTCGAGTTCCTCACTGCTGTAGCTGCACTCTGACTCATAGGTCTGAAAGAGAGAGTGACACTCCTAAAACAACTCTTTCATAAGTGTGTGGCCCTGCCTCTGAGATCTGAAAAGAATATTAAAACCAGGACCAATTCAGTGCTCATATATCGATGTGAGACATATCCAAAGATGCAGGGTACAGAACAGGCAAACTCTGACAATTCAAGCGTTTAAGAGCTTAAAAGACAGCTTTGATAACTTTCCTGAGCAGCAGAAAAGCTCCTTTAAGAACCCTGAGTAAATCTCCCGACATGCTCAACTTTAGGAGAAAGTGAAGTCTCAATGTGAGGAGGTGCTCTGAGGATTGCGCTGAAGTTTAGCCCCAATCAAAGTCACTACTAAATCCTGCGTTTCTACTTACTGGGGAATGAAAGGCAGACGTGTCCATCAAACTAGCTGCTTCCTGATAGGAGAACATGAAGGGACCCTGTCCCAGTCCCGCCTCCTCCAGCTTCTCCTGATAAACGCTGCGGGTGGCTTCCACAAAGTCTTATTAAGAAAACAGAGGTGTAGTTAGAAATAGCCAAGAATAGCACAACAAACATAAATATGTGATTTCAGGTCAACATTTGCTTGCTACACAGAAAATGGGTGCAATATATTCTCTTCACCTGTCACTCAGTGAAATCTATCCAGAATATTCCAGGAGAAAGAGCGTCTAGAGGGAATATTTATGTTCAGGTGCCCTTGCTCTAAGTGTTTGCACAGCTGAAGTACAAGAAAACAAGCAGAACTCTTGCTCCACTGCAAGCACTTTGATCAGGATTTGCCGCGGTGGCATCTTCCTGCTGAGGAGCGTAACTCCCTGTCATGAGCAACCTGGAAATATACTTAGCTGTCTAAAAAAAATGTTTTCCCCCCTGACAATCTGTCTCTAAAAACTCATTCTAAGTGTTTCAAAGTGTAAACTCAAACTCAATATCCAAATATGGATTATGATTCCCTTTTCAAAACAGGTATTTCCGTCCATGTAAAATTGTGATTATTTCCTGTGGTTATTTCAGAGGTTGGGAACCTTGTCTCTAAAAACTCATTCTAAGAGTTTCAAAGTGTAAACTCAAGCTCAATATCCAAATATGGATTGGGATTCCCTTTTCAGAATAGGTATTTCCGTCCAGGTCAAAATGTGATTATTTCCTGTGGTTATTTCAGAGGTTGGGAACCTTAGGCACGCAAGCTGCACCGGTAATCACTGGCATCCGAGCAATGAGTGCAAGAGAGATTAGTATTACTTTTTTTTTTAGTTAATTCAGTAATGTTAAATTCCGCCACATTTGCATGCTAAACTACAACTTCCTTTTTTTCTAAACTGCAGTAACCTTTTTTCTTTGTCATGCAACCTGTTTTGAAGCTGTTTTGAACCCCTGAGGGGGGGGGGGATCTGATCCCCCTGAAGGTCAAAAAAACAAAATGTTGGTGCGAGTCATAGTACAGAGAACAGTCTACTTATAAAATGAAGCTTTACCTGTAAATATGAAGATACATTTCTATGGATATTAAATTGTAATTTCGTATTTCAAATCATAATCATAACTTTAAATCGTAAAATGGCAACCCCTGAATTGGTTAAAACAATTAACATTACCTAAGCAGTTAAATTAAATATGCTATAAAACCCCACTCATTCATTTGCACAGGATGTGCTTTTATTGCAGGGGTAGTGCAAAAACATAATGTAAGTGTGTGCATGCTGGTAATTTGAAAAAGAAGTGAAAATTAGTAAAAATAGCACTTCAGATCAAAATGGCCCGTTTTAGACTCACTTCCAATACTGAAATATGTGATTTTCTAAAAAAGGGAATGTCAGTCCACACCAAAATGATTGTGAAAATAAGTGATTATTTCCTTTATCTAGTTGACTGGCTGAGGATCATGTTATGCAGGTGCAGCATAAAGGTGTAAAGGATGTGTCTATACCTCCATACGATACAGTTCCCTGAGGGTCTGTAGTGAGACTCTCTCTGAGCTGCCGCTGCTTCTCATCTGTTACATCCAGACCCAGGTACGACAGAGCCTGCAAAATGACCAAACTGTCAAAAACCTTCATCATTATAGTGGTTCAGGCCTAGTCAACCACATCCTGCACCTTTGAAATTCTGAGAGGTCTGCAATGCCATTCTCCTATTCTAAAAAAAACAACATTTAATTTTTTTTCATTTATTTAAATTTTTTATTAATATATTTATTACAACACTGTTTTGAATTTACTGCTCAGAGCAGAAAAATAAAAATATATAACTATAAATTATTATGCTTAAATGTTTAGTGAATAAACAGGTATTTTAAGAGCTGACTGATGAGCATGATTCTTTTTCGACTGTACAGCATCCAACCAAGCTTGAAACGAATGTTACAGCTATGTACACAAGAGGTCAGTGTGGTAACAGAGGTCAAGTCAGTAGCGTACAATAAATCCAGGCTTATGGTCCATAAGAGATCAAAAGACATTAATAAGGCTAATCAGATTAAGTTCACAAAAGTAAGATACTGTTCAAACACCAATGGCAAGAAAACTGTCCTGTTCCAGATAAAACATCTACTTAAAGATGAGACAAACGGAGGAATAAACAGCATAAAGTCACATCAAAATTTTGGACCATGTCAAATACTTGTTCGTGCAACACTTAATATTGTGTGCATTGTGCCTTTATTTCACATTTAAGTGCTCTCGTCCATTGAGACCTAATCCTATTAATGGGCCGGTAGATTAGGGTCAGCCTCGGGATCAGCAGGATTAAATTAAATCTCTGCTAAACAACTGCACCATAACAAAGAGCAGAGACAGAGATCTATGATAGGTATGATAGGTTATCTCCATAAGTGCTCTGTCAGTTACTTCGCACTGAGACACAGGCTCCTCTTGAAGTCACTGGTTCAGATTTCAATGGGGATTAACCCTTCAAATTCCCCTTGTTTTCTGAACTGCTGGGTCCAATCCTGTCATTACTAAAAATACAGGTTCAAGCACTTGGCACATGCCACTGCAATCATAAATTATATAGAGAATTAGAGTCTTATTTTTCTCAATAAACTATTTTACACCCAAATTAACAGTATTTATTTAAAATAATTTATTCTTAAATGTTTAAAAGGAAATCCACTCATATGAGTTGAAGACGATAAAAACTGATTTACTTTAGCTGGTTGCCTCATGGGGACCATTAGGGGGCTTAAACATAACTAAAAAAAGTACTTCAATGAACTATTTTATATAATCAAATTCTAATCTAAATTAAGATGCTAAAGTAAACATAAAATCATGCTGTCAGCTGAAATTTACAAAGATAAAATATTGTAATATAATAAAAGTAATAAATAAAAATAATATTTCTTTCTTCCCACCAGTGTTAATTTTTGCAGCAAATTTTGATTTAGTTTTAGTCATAGTCTTTTGACGAAAATGCCATTTAGTTTTAGTTATATTTTAGTCATCTGAATTGTTTTAGTTTTAGTCTAGTTTTAATCGACTAAATATCATACAATTTTAGTCGACTAAATCTACTTTAGATTCGACTAAATCTACTTTACTAAAATCTAAAGGGTTTAGTTAAACTGCAATGCATTATTTTTTATTTATTTCTGTTTTGGTTATTGTAGTACATCAAGTTAAGCTAAAGCTTATAAACTAAATAAAATAAAATATGTTTTTTTAATATATGTATTTTAGATATTTATTTCCTTTTTTTATAGATTTGTTTTATAATTTCAGTTAACATTTATTTTACTGTATTTCAATTAATGAAGAATATTTTATGGTTTTAGTTTTAACTATAAAAACCTGATGCTAGTAAAATGTATTTATTAAATAATATTTTGAATAATGTTCTTAGTCTGTCCATCCTGTGATGGGGAATCCCAGACAGAAGCTACAGTAGTTGTTTATTAAATGGAAATTAAATTAAATACAGTTTATGTACCCAAAATATCAATAATGACCAGGAAAAAAGCTTGAAAAACATTGTGACGCTTATTTTGAAATGTCTGCACTGTTGACTGTACAGTAGCAGGCAGCTCATTCAAGTTCAGATGAGGGAAATACAATATGCATTCTTACAACCGTATAAAACATATTACCATATAAATATCGTATAGTAAACATTGTCATAATTAATTCAATTTTTGCTAATTTTAGCAATTTTTGTGTGAGAAAATATTACCAGTTAAGTCAGCAGAATGTGTCCTTGATTATCAGTCAAACGTAAACTTACCATTCACAGCACCTGACTGCTGAGAATGTTTCATAAAGCATCGCTCTTTGTACACATGCAAAACTGTTTGTGTAAACCAGGCTTACCAGATCGAGCTTCTCTGATTTGAGCCGTATGTGGGGGTCCAGTGAGATCCTGGGTTTGGAAACAGTGGCTTGTCTCTGCGCGGTGGAGGCTGAGGGGGAAAGTGGGACAGTAATTCACCTACTTTAAGAGTCATACTCACATTAGAGCATTTAGTGGCGAGTGCTAGTAAGCTGCATAGGAAAACGTGGCCTTAATGTTTTTTTCATCGTCTGGGAGCTCAAATGAATGGGTATTATATTAATACAATAAAGATTATGAACTGTGTGAGGGATTTGAATGGAGGGGTGGAGAGAGATAGCGATAGAGAAAGTCAGGTATTAACACCAGTGCTTTCAGTGGCGTGTGTATTGTTAAGCAACGCTGGCTATAAGAGCTATGAAATGATCACCCCCACCCCGGGGACACGCTCCTGCAGGGGATTTATCTGCCTTCTGACGCTCATGATTGACAGCTTGAGCTCAGACACGTCAGACTCACGCAGACTCAGACAGGTCTCATGCTGGTAATTCAGGACCAACACGCACAGCAGGAGCTCGCTCAGGGGCAGTGGATTTAACAGGTGGTACTGATGGTACACAATCCAGGACAACTAAAACAATCCAGATTAATGGTGCTTCTATGAATGTTGCACCCGAATTGCAACTCATTAAAGGGTTGGTTCACATAAAAATTGAATAATTTACTCGCTTTCATGTTGTACAAACATGTGTAAATTCCTTTTCTTCTATGAAACACAAAATGTGAATTGTTGAAGAATATCCTGGCTACTGTTTTCCTTATAATGAAAGTGAATGGGGACTCACTCTGTCATGATCCAGCATCACAAAAAAGTACATTAAAAGTGTCTATATAACTTAAGGGGATAGTTCACCAAAAAAATGAAAATGTTGTCATCATTCACTCAGCCTCATGTCGTTCCAAACCTGTATGAGTTTCTTTCTTATGTTGAACACAATAGAAGATATCTTGAAGAATGCTGGTAATCAAACAGTTGATGGTCCCCATTGGCTTCCATAGTATTTCTTTCCCTACTATGGAAGTCAATGGAGACCAACAGCTTCAAAATTCTTCAAAATATATTCTTTAGTGTTCAACATAAGAAAGAAACTTATACAGGTTTGGAACAACATGAGGCTGAGTAAATCATGGCAACATTTTCATTTTTGGGTGAACTATCCGTTTAAGTGCTGTATTCCCAGTGTTCTCAAACTAAATATAGCAAAATTAGGCTGATGTTAGAATGGCATTTTGTCATGATGACTTCTGTAGTCTATTTCAAAGCATCATGGATGGGTGTTACAAAAGATTTTTTGTAAAAAAAAAATTAGATTTCAGTCTGTTTCATACACAAAGCTATTATATGACTTCAGAAGACCTGGAATATAGCACATGATTATAATTTATATAGGTCTTATTTACTTATTTATATAGGTCTCTGAGTCTGAGTGCATCTAGTCTCTTATTCTAGGAAGGAGACCCAGAAGGGCTTTTGCAGGATTACAGCATCTATTTAATTCAGATAAGACAGATCTTCCTTATTCTTATAAGATTTAATCAGCTAGTCTGGATAAATGGGTAATTAAGTACTATACACTTTATAGATGTCAAGAATGATTAGAATGATTTGCGTGTAAACACAACACCATCCAGAGTTCAAGGGCGAGCCAGGCATGCTTACATCCGGTCTAGATTAACTTTAAACTCTGGGCCAGGGATAGCCTGATGGACAGGTGCATGGTACACATCTAAGTTTGGACAATGACCATTAAAGCCACACTTGAAAATATCTGAATGTCATTGCATTAAATAACAATTTACAAATGTTACAAATCGTTTCTTAACCAATATTTTTGAATTTTTTTATTCTAGTAATAATATCATCTTACCTTTCTTTTAATATGCTTACAAGGTCCATTTACTTGAGAAGAAAAAATATGTATTATAATAAGTATTGCTTTCAGGGAATATATTTTGAGGGTTTTAGTATTTATAATTAATATGCATAATATTAATTAATAATATTAATAATTTGTTTTTTTTTACTTTATCCACTGCCAATTTTTTAAATATTAATTATGAATATTCTGAATTATGAATTATTTTTTTAGTTTGCTATTTAAATTTATTTTAAAGACAGATAGCTCACATTTTAAAAAGTTTATTGGGTTAAAACAATACGATAAAATCAATATGTTAAAATCAATCAATATATTGTTAAAAACGTTTGGGTAATTTCATAAACAAAAATTAACTTGGTCAAAATAGTTAATTTCAGTAATTGTTTATTCTGAAAAATGTCTAGCATAATTTTTTTCATATTCCACTTGCTTTGATATATCTAATACATGACACATTCAAATACACGAATGACAATCAGCAATTTTTAAATGTGAATTAAGTGTCAAAATGTTTTTGGGGTCTCTGTGTAGAGAAATACAATGGTGAATTGTTTTTGGGCATTATTTCAGCATAGAAAGATTTTAGTGTCTTGAAAAGTGACTTGACATGTTAACATCCACTCTGACTGCTGCTTCAAAGTATCTAAGAGTATAAAATGGACTAAAGTGGTGTCACATCACGTTTCTGTTGTGTTTTGCTTTGCTCCCCGTGACCTAGTTTTGTCTGTGTCTTGATCAGTTCATTGTTCCCACCTGTTGTGTCATTAATTATCCCATTAGTCCCTGTGTTTATAAGCCCCGTCTGTTCCTTTAGTTCCCTGTCTGCTATTATTTGTATTTTGGTCTACGTGCTGTGCTATCCCAGTTCCTCGATTCCTTGTGTTTGCTTTGTGGATTATAATAAAAGACTTTATTGGACTACTCCTGCGTTGTGTGCTCCTTAGACAGCCAGCACACGTTACAGAATAGCAGACCCTCAAATTGAGTAACGTAATAGCGGCGTTTTTCTAACTTTTTTTGTTTTTGTTTCTCCCCTCTCCTTGAATGAATTTACCGGCTGTCCAACTACTGTGCCTGGAGCAACAGGAGTGTCCATACCCGCTAGAGGACCATACCCGGGACTTTTTAGATCTGGCGTGCCTTACACACTTTCCCGACCGCTCGCTCTGTATCTTTTATTACACCAGCCTGAGCGAGGGGTGTAAGGCACGTCTGCCAGCGAACGGTCCCAAGGAGGATTTCACTGCTTTCGTGAAGTGGGTGCTGGAGAGAAATGGACTGTTTTTCTCTGCTTGCCCCGCTGAGGAACAAATCTCCAGCCCCACTCCCGACCCAGAGACCAGCCAGCCGTCATCCAGCGGCACAGAGCAATTGCCTGACTCCACTGCAGACGGAGAGCCTGAGCCCACCGCAACACGAGAGCCAGCGTGCAAAACCACGACTGAGCCTATCATCGCCCCAGAGCCTGAGCCTCAAGATCGTTCTGACCAGGTGCGTGAGCCTGCAACATCGCCAGTCCCCGAGGGAGCTTTGGTGGAGATCGAGGGCTTGGAGGGAAGCCCCGCCCACACTCCCGCCGCTGAGGGTGGGCTGCCACTGGATATTATGAGGAACTTATGGACATTTTTCAAATGGACTTAATAGACTGGTTTGGGGAGGTAATACCCAGTGCTCCCGAGTCTCCTGTGTCTCCGCTGGTTCCGCCCAGCTTCTGTGTTCCCTCCCAGCCTCCCTCTCCCGCCTCCTCTCCTAAAACCAGCCAGTTTCTCATCCCTGTCTCTGCTGGTTCCTGTCAGTCCCTCAGCTCACCCTCAGTCAGCGCCATCTGTGCGCTCTGATCCGCCTCAGGACTTCCAGTCTCCAGCTCCGCCTAGGCGTGAAGATCCCCTGTCTCTGCATCCAACCTCCGAGTCCTGGACTTCACCTCGGTCCTTCGACCCATCGGCTCCGTCTTGGCTCCTAGCTCCCTCATCTCCACCTTGGTCCGTCATCCCACTGGCTCCACCGGGCTTCCTCGTTCCTCCGGCTCCGCCTTGGTCAGTCGTCGACCATCCTTCGCCTCGAGACTCCACTCCTCTGGCTTCGCCTCATCGCTCCGTCCCTCTGGCTCTGTCAGGCTCCTCCTTCCCTCCGGATCCACCTTCTTCCTCAGTCGCTCCAGCTTTGCCGCGGTCTTCCGGATCCCCGCCTCCGCCTCGGTCGCCTGAGCCTTCTGCACCGCCTTGGCCCTCCGGATCCTCTGTGTCAGATCCCCTGGCTCTCAGTCTGCTCTGCTCCACTTGGGTCTCCACCTCCAGCGGCTCAGTCTCTGTCAGTCAGCCCCCTGGTGTTGTCGGCCCCTTCTCCACCATGGCTCCTCCCGCTGTCGATTCCACAGTGGGCCGCTATCCTGGCTGGCCTCTGGATCTCCATCTGGCTCCTGCCTCCATCCACTCCGCCCTGGTCCTATGAACTATGCCCCTTTCCCATTGCCTGCCCCCCACCTGCCCCACGCCCACCTCCTGAACCCCTACCCTCCCTCCTCTGTTGGACTGCTTTTGTACAGTTCCGGGAGGGGGCGAAATGTCACATCACGTGTTGTGCTATCCCAGTTCCTCGATTCCTTGTGTTTGCTTTGTGGATTATAATAAAAATACTTTATTGGACTACTCCTGCGTCATGCGCTTCTTAGACAGCCAGCACACGTTACAAGTGGCTTTCTCTGTATGGTTTCTTTAACAATTTATCAATCCCATTTTGTGCCCCAAGAAAGGATTACACACTATGCACGGCAAACCAATCTGTACCAAACAGCTACCCAGCTGCTGTGAACTGAGATAAGAGCACTATCTGACTTGACATGAGAGAGGCCTTCCTCTCTTTTTTATGTACGTCTTCAAGAATTTGATTGTTTAATTTAAACACCTCACATACATGCCCGACCCCCGCAGCACCGAGAGATTACTTTGCAACTAGCCGTTGATTAAAATCCAAACACTGCTACTGACTAATCCCCAATCTTTCTCTCTGAAAACAAATAATTGCTTTGCAAGAATCCCGTTTCTCTGAGCGTTGGTTAATTTTAGCTGCTACTTGCACTGAGGCAAGGTGCAATCTGTAAGGTACAGTAATTTAAAGAGCAACTACTTTCTGTATTCATGAACCTGCACTTGAACACCACAGGTATTTTCCCTTTTAGTCTGTAACCATGAAGGATTTTAAAGGATGTACTCTACAAACACAGTAACAATAAATTTACTGCAAAATACCTATATTCAATTAAAAGTTAATATTAAAAATACAAATAATTAATGTTTGTTTTTTTTATTCCAGTAAGAATATCATCTTATCTTTTTGTAAATATAACAAGGTATATCCTTATAACAAGGTAAATGTACTTGAGAAGAAAAAATTGTGTATCGTTGTTTTCTGGATATATATTCTGAATTCTGTTTTTAGTATTTATAATTATAATTCATAATGTAGAATTATTATTGTTATTGTTTGGGTCAGTAAGATACGTTTTAAAAATTAGTCTCTTATGCTCCGCATTTATTTGATCAATATTTTGAAATATTATTAAAATTTAAAGTAACTGTTTTTATTTATAATTCATTTTAAAATGTAATATATTACTCTAATGTCAAAGCTGTATTTTCAGCATCATTACTCCAGTCTTCAGAGTCACATGATGCTTCAGAAATCATTCTAATGTGCTGAATTGCTGCTCAAAAAACATTTCTTATCATCAGTGCTGAAGACAGTTGTGCCTCTTAATAATTTTGCTTTTTTTTCAGGATTCTTTGATGAAAAGAAAGTTCAAAATATTTTTTTTTGCATTTATTTGAAAAAGAAATCTTTTGTAACATTATCAATGTATTTACCGTCACTTATGATCAATTTAATGCATCCTTGCTGATTAAAAGTATTATTTTCTTTTTAAAAAAATGTTCTAACCCTAAAATTTTGTATTTATGAAATTTTGACACTCAAGTAAATATATATTTTTTTATATATAATGTTGAAGGGGGTTAGATATATGAGTCCACCTTCGTGACATGTACCTGAAACCTGTATGTCTGGAGGGCAGATATCCGGGGAGGATGAAAGCGCTGGAGCTGTTTCCTCTCGTCGCATCTACAAGAAGAAAATTATGAAGCATTGCATGCTTAGCAGAAAGACCATGGCAAGTGTGTGTATTATGTAAGCCACAAGACTCTCTTGTTGTTGAAATGCCAAAGACATGACATGATCTGTACACTAGTAAACACTAACCTCAGGAGATCGGACATGAACCTTTAACCGGCTGGAGTTGTATCCATTCCCAACCCCCCTCTGAACTCCATTATGCAACAATGGGCTGTTGGAAAAAGGTCCTTTTCCTGGGATGAAGGCAATATCCACCACTGGTTCCTGACTTCAAGGGCAAAGAACAGGGATAAAAGATACATTATGTAAAAGAAAGATGTACAAAGATACTGATTAAACATTGATCAAAATACATAAAGCTACATTGAACAGAGTGAATACCTGAATTGGACCTTATTGAGCACACTTTTGGCCTCCTCATACGTGACTCCTATCAATGACTCCTTGTTAATGGCGATAAGCTGATCTCCGGGTCTGAGCCGTCCATCCTATAAGGCCAAAGGAATGAAAATCCTTACTAAATGTTGCTGATCAGTCACAATTCATGGCAGACATTCAGTTTGAGAAAGCTGTACCAACAGCAGGAACATAAGCCACTGAACTACTCATCACCAGGTGGAGACCTGAGACCTCATGTCACAGAGGACACCACTACAGCAACTCCATCCCCTCTGAGACACTAAAACTACACTGTGACGAGTAGGGGCGGGGCCGAGAGCCGTGGGAACGGAGCGAGGCCGGTGGAGTAATTGATAATGAGCGAACAACTGTGGCAAAAGTCCTATCCACTCCCTAGCATTTCCAGAAATTGGGGTTAAGAGATGCAAGTTACTTCCAAAATGTAATACATTATATATTACTAGTTACTGTCTTTTGAAAGTAATTAGTTACATTACAATATTACTGTCTCTGAATTGTAATGCGTTACACTACTTTTGAGTTACTTTTGAGTTACTTTCACCAAAATATCCACAGAAGTATTATAAAATGCCAAAATGTAGTTTATTGCTGCTCATTCTACACCCAGTGGAGGGTAATGTGGTAGGTCTATATAGCATAAAATTATAAAATTATATTTAGATGCCGGTATGTAGGTCTACATTAATGTTACGTTGTAGTTTAGGTTAAACACAGATAAGCAGAAACCACATTATTACATTCATAAATAACACCGGTAAATAAAGCGAAATGTTATAATGTACAAACAATAAACACAATACCTAGCCTATAGGCAAATTTGAACGGTTTCAGAAGAAAACAAGAATGAAAAATATAAGTTGCTAAACAAGCCAAAACGAATTAGGCTAATCAGTGGCGGCGCTAGGGCGGGGCCCATCAGAAACTTGCTTAGCCCCGGCACAGCCCCCACAAGGATTTCCTAATGATGTTCCCTTATTTTTGGTGTCACTTTCATTAACATTAAAAAAATAAACATAAAAAAAAATGCCTAATATGTGGCCTATAAACGATTGATATTATGGGGGCGGGGTCAAGCAACGCGCAAACTGTGCGCAAGAGTTATGCCGGTGAACGTCAGTAAATTCACTATAGAGAAAGTGAAAGTAAAAAAACTGACGGAGCTTTCTAACGCTGCATTAACGGCGCATATTCTCTGAGACAACAAGAGACAAAATCACTTCAATATAGGCAGATGATGGTATACAACTGTCTTAAATGATTCCCTTAATATTTCTCTTGTGGCCCGTATAGTGAAAAACATGAGAAGAAACGTATTTCGCGTTAAACAGGTTGTTTTTGAAAATCTGTGCACGAAATAAAGCTGCTCTTAATTTTCATCGATGACTGCAGTGTTAATAATTTTAATTATAGGCCTATAATTCAATTGTATAAATTAATAGACCTGTTTAAAAAAAAACTTAAAAAAAAAACATTCTCAATGAGGAGTAGCCTAAACTAATAGCCTAAATTGTAATTATCCTCACAGCGCGCCATACGGCACGGAACGGCATAGTCATATAGACTATGATTTAACAAAAACAGATTTAGCTATTTTTAGTTAAACTTAATTTTTGTTGCTTGTCTGCGCTCGTCCGCCGCCTTTTTCTCTTCTCCGACCCTGCAGCTCTCTCCGATAGCTTATTACTACCGTTAGTGGCACCAGTCCAGTGTTTCCAGGTTTTACTCGTGCTATTTCTCCATGTTGAGAGTTTGGTGTCGCACATATTGCTATGCATTCTTATCCTTTTCTCCGATGAACTGAAAATAACAGGAGTGTGTCCATCTCACAAATGTAGAATCCGTCTCTGCAGTCATCTCAACCATCTAATTCCAGCAACAGAAGATAGACAAACTATTTTACCCGCAGAATTTTTTCTCTGGTGCTGTTTTGCGGTGTTAGTAAATTCACCACTTAATTTTGAGTTAAAATATGTTGTTGTAACTTGCGTTACTGAGATTGTAACGAGTAATAATATTACCCAAATTGTATTAGTAATGCGTTATATTACTGCGTTACAGCAAAAAGTAATATACTACTGTAATATTATCACTTTTGTAATGCGTTACTCCCAACACTGACATAACATACATAAACATACATATTTGCATGGGATACATAATGAAATTGCAATTTTTAATAGGTTTCATGTATGTAATTTATAATTTTTTTGTGTTTCATTTTGGACAGTTTGCATGGGTGAGACTGGGGCTAGTTGTCACACTCCGATTAATATTTGTTGTATTTAAAAAAAATAGCTACATCAAAATGTTGCTATATATGTATATATAAAAAATTTTTTTTTTTAAATTATTCAACCATTATTGCCCAGGAATAAAGATACAGTCCATTAAACACATGCTGACCTTTCGTGACAACATGCCCCAGTGGTGGAGTAATATATTGTCACACTATATAGTAAGCTGTCACAATGAGAAACTGCTGTTACATGGCTAATTGATTATTGCATCATTACAATGACATATTTTCATTTAATATTTAATTGCAATGAAAATACATGTGTATGCAAGCAACACCAAAACATATGTGAGGCTGGACTTCTCTCTCAAAACCTTTATTTATGAAGAAGGTTGTGAATTCTAATTGATTGATCTGTATGTACAGGGCAAAATGATTGCACATTATTGGAACATACACATATGGAACTCGTCCATTTGAATGCAGTCGTCTTAACATGTGAGCGCAGTCAAGCCCTTGGCTTTAATTTGCCATGCAACTCTTATGAACAAATTGTTTCTACTTTGTCTCCCATTATCTGTTGCGAACAATCGGACTGAACAAAAGCCATTCTCAGCACTACACCCCACGGAATTTTTTCTCTGGTGCTGTTTTGCGGTGTTAGTAATATGTTGTTGTAACTTGCGTTACTGAGATTGTAACGAGTAATATATTACCCAAATTTTATTAGTAATGCGTTATATTACTGAGTTACAGCAAAACGTAATATACTACTGTAATATTATTACTTTTGTAATGCGTTACTCCCAACACTGATTAGCAGTCATATCGGTACTGGCCCAAAAAATCATCAGTTTTGCTGTTGGTGCACCTATAACACAACTAAAATAATGTTTACTTAGAGTCTGCCAAATTTTTTATACATAGCATTTTGTATCTTAGCCGTTTCTTAAGGTGCATTCACGCCATGTCGTAATTACTGGAATTACGAGATGCCAACTTGTAAAAAGCGTTCACATCCTTGTAGAACTCGTAATTACAACTTGTAAACTGGGAATTTTCTAAGAGCTACAACTTTTACCACCTGACCACCTGATATTTCTTGAAGATACATTTCTTTTAAAACAGAAATTGTAAGTTTTTTGTTTGTTTTAGTCTCACAAATTTTAGACTGATATTTGATATCTGCCAGTACATTGGTTATTTGCTTAAAAATATAAGTAATTACAGTTATTGCCAAAATGTCCTTATCTGTGTATCCCTATACTACTCTTCAAAATTTTGGGTTCAGGAAGTTTATTTAAAAAAAAAAAAAAGTTTTTCTCTCATGCTCAAAAAGTTTTTCTCTCATCATGCAAAAATACAACAAAACAGTAATATTGAAAATTATATTAAAAAAAAAAAGTTTTTATTTTAATAAATCTTAAAATGTAATTTATTCCTGTTGCTACAAAGCTGAATTTTCAGCATCATTTCTCCAGTCTTCAGTGTGACATGATTCTGCAGAAATCATTCTAATATGCTGATTTGCTGCTTATAAAACATTGCTTCTTATTATTAATGTTATTAACAGTTGTGCTGCTTGATATTTTTATAAATTAATATGTCTCTTCTGTCACTTTTGATCAATATAATGCATCCTTGCTGAATAAAAATATTAATTTCTTTAAAAAAATTTTGACCCCAAACTTTGAATGTACCAATTTTACTGTAGACAAAAATATTAAGAAAACTATTTTTGCAGTTCCAACTATGAGGAACAATAAAAGTGATTCTTGTTTTTGGAGACACCACTTACATGCAAGTAAATGCTAAAACCAAGGACTAAACAAAACAAAACAAAACAAAAAACAGGGTTTATTTCAGATAGCTCTGAGTTCTGATCATTGATTCAAAACAGACATGCATGGGACCTTATATAATAGGTGTCACAGATGGCCAACAATCTGACACTGAAAATCTAAGTGATATTGAATATCTGAGTTTCAGCACAATAGTCCTGTAGGTGAATGCTACAGCTCCACTCCCCATTCTGAGTTTTATATTCCACAGGGAGGGCGATGCCCTAGACAGTCTTCTGTACACCTGACCTCTGCAGTCTGCTGTGACAGTACTGCCCATCCCCAGAACAGCCCAGCAGAGCCTTTACCTATTTTGTCTATCAGGGAAAACACTCAAGACAATGTAAAGCAGGGGATAAATTGCTTAGACGGTTTCCAGGAGATGTCTACCTGCTTAAGAGGAAACCTTTGCACTGGCTCAGGCTATAACGCAGTACTCTGACATTCTAGGATGTCATACTCACTTTAATCCGAACCCCCTCTGCGATAAAGATGGCTAAATATGTTAGAGCTTAATGGTAAGGTGTAAAAAACTGAGTGATCCTTGCTTTGCGGGAGAAGATTCTTGGAGGTTTCTTCTCCAGCTCAGACTAAACACTTCCTCGAATTGTGTGACATATCTCACTCATTTATGTCCACTGATCTCTCTCTTTCTCTGTCTCATTTAATCATAGTTTAAAGACAAATTATGATGCTTACAATTAGTAGTTAGCTTAATACGCACCCAAACCATCTCCATATACAAGCTGTCCACACAACCTTACCTGCACAGTCATTCAGCACTTGTTATTCTCAAAATTAAAGTTAAAACACAATTTACCAGTGGTTCTCAAACAGGGGGCCACAGCTAACTTCCAAGGGGGGCTCAAGATGACTTAAATAAGGCAAAACAAGTATCAAAGTAAGCTGAAACCACTAAAAATCCAGATATATCTTTATATCAAGCTCTATATCTAAAACATATCTATATCAATACCTAAAACATTGCGTTGAAACCATAAGTATATATTTTGACGTAAAGTGGTTATATCTAAGTGTGTGAGGTGTTTATATACTTTTTAAAATTAGTCTTCCAATTAACTTCCCATTATATTGTTTATTCAGACTTATTCGCGAACGTGGAATGCACACAAACACAAGAGGCGGGATTTATTGCTTGAACTAATCACAGCTGAACATAAACAGTCATATCAAATCATATCACGATGGAGGCATTGCCTCTTCTCATGTGACTTTCCCCCATTCATTCTCAATTACCACCCACTGCACGCTTTAGTTAGTCTGTTAAAACTCAATGGGCTCAGGGGAAGCGAGAGAGATGTGGACTCCCGCTGTAACTTTACCTGCTGATGTCGCTGTTGGACAATGTTTCTTTAGAAAAAACGAGCGATTTATACACTTTTTATTGTTATATTTTGTAATATTGGCATTGTTTTATTTTTGTTCAACAAATTTTATTTCTCATCCAATATTTTGAGGAGACACTGCCTCCCTTGTCTCCTCGGAGGAAATACCCCTGATATATATATATATACATTTTCTTTTCTTTTCTTTAAATTCTTATCCTTATCCAGTAAATCATGAACAAATGGAAAAGCCATTGGGCCATCAAATATTGTTGGAAATCTTGGTCAATGGGGGCCCTTGGAGTCAAAAAGGTTGAGAACAACTGCAATAAATGTTTTTCTGTCCCTCTTGATCCAGAACTTGTCTCAGATCAAGCTATATGTTTAACTGTGTTTTTGTGAAGTTGGCTCTAAATACATTCTAAATTTAGCAACGTAAGTTTAAAACGTTTTGATGAACCATGATTTCTGTGTACACCCAGATTATGCACAAATACATGCGCACACAGTATATTACAGAGTCCCACTCTCTCACCCGATGACAATCTCCTCCAGACAGCACTTCCTGGATGAAAACTGCAGGCCCATCAGGTCTGTTGGAGCCACCGCCGATTGTAATACCCAGTCTGCAGGAGCGAGCGATTGATATCAGCTGAATCACCCCTTCACCTGGGTGACTGAAACCAAACACACACACACACAAACTTTGTATTACTAGAATGAACTGTTGGTCAAAATAGTTAAACAATTCAGTAAGTAAACTTTACACAACTAAATCATTGTTTTCCAGTACCTTAGGGAGCGTAGCAAGGGTCCTGTATTGTTGTAGTTACTCTGGGACCCAGCAGGACTAAGTAATAGAGGACTTTGAGATCTGGATGAAGACCCTGATGATGTGCTGTCCAAGTATCTGCCTGCTTTAGCACAAAAAAGATGGATAAAGACGTGAGTGAAAAATTAATGATCACAAATTGCCTGATGTCAACACTGACATAATACTAGGTAGTTAGTAATTGTGAAAGCTTATATAAGAGCCAGTGATACAACCCATCAATTTATCTGTTTCAACAATAACAGCGGCTTTAGTATCTAAAGAATAAGAGTTAATCCAAACCAACTAAAAATAAAGATACAGAACTTGGCTTGTTATACAGTGCCGTTCAAATTTTGGGGTGAATAAGATTTTTATTCATTTATTTATTTTTAAAGAAATTCATACTTTTATTCAGCATGATGATGCATTAAATTCATCAAAGATTAACAGTATTTCAAATAAATGCTGTTATTTTTAACTTACTATTCATCAAAGTATCCTGGAAAAAAGTGTGTCACAGTTTCCATAAAAATATGAAGCAGCACAACTGCTATCAACATTGATAATAATACAGAATATTTCTTGAATATTTCTTCAGCTTTCCCATCATAGGAATAAATTACATATTAATGGAAAATAGAAAACAGTTATTTGAACGATTCAAACATTTAAACAGTAGTGTACATAAAAAGGTGTGCTGAAATCAAGAGAAGCTGTCATGCTCATAAGAAGTCATGAGTTGAAGTTTGCAAACTGAACTTTGTTGTATTGTCAAAGAAAATGTCCAGATGAAGACCTCTGACCAAAGCTCGGTCTCATTTGCACTTTTAAATTAAAGACTCGAATGAAACTCTTTGCTGTGCTTAAAGCAAGTTACATCATTAGAATATTCTACACTGAGGGGAGAGCAGGGATCAGACTGAGCAGCCAGTGCATGAGCACACGCTCCGCTCCCAAAAACTTTTCCTGTGGAGCGTCTTTCCTCCGGCAGGAACAGATGTTCCAAATTGCATAATGGACAAATGCGCTGTCTTAAGCCATTTTCAAGGACTGATTTGTTTCTCCCCTAAACATTATAATTATAATTGACTTGAGTCCAAAAAAGAGATTGTTTTTCGAAAACACAAACAGTTTGTACTTCTGTTGTTTTACATATATATTTGAGAAAGAGTAAAAATGTAGACGTTAAAAAGAGAGGATGATGATGAAGAGATGTGATGTGAATTTCTCCCTCTCCTCTTCCAGTTGTGAGGATCATATTGCATGAGTCAGCATTTCATAACCTTTGTTATGTCAGGGAAGAGGAAAGAGACATTCTAGTACACCTGAGCACAGAAATGAATGCCTTTAGAAAAGGCAATACTATGCCTTTGAAATATGTACATTTCATGTACTGTAAACTTGACAATGACTAAAAAATAGAAACCTACTATGCTGAATAGGTGAATTCCTGGTAGATCCTGTGCTGCCGTTTGAGCCGTATTTTTCAAGGAGCTCTGCAAATTCTCTCCTACACAGACAGAAGAGGAATTAACAATAACCACAATGTAACCAACCAAGAAAAAAAATTAAACCTTCAATAACATCATACAAAACAACCCAAATACCTTTAGACACCTAAATGACATAACAGTTCTTACTGCCCTCAGATTATGTAAGAACAGCTTGCACTATTCCAAAATAATATCATGTCAGTTAATTCGTTTGTGAAGGACTCGGGAATGTTATCTACACAATCCAAATAAGCTCTAAGCATATATACGACTCTGTAGAGGGCAGCATACAGTGATTAAAATATTCCACATCACTACAAGAAGGAAAAAAACATGGCAAATGCTAAAATAAAAAATAAAATAAATCATAATTTTGAACAATAGCTGGAAATGATATATATATATACAGTATATATAATCTTATATATGTTATATATAGGACCAGCTGTTTTCCAGTAAATGTGTTAATGAATTATTTGTTGTTATATACTGCTGGAAAACAACTGGTCCTGCCAAATCAGTGTACTTTTACTGAAATATATAGCAATGCCAATGGATTTTGTGATCAGCTTATTGAGTAAAAATAAACATGCTGAGTTCTCTTTAGTTGCCTTTAGTTGAGCTGGGCAGCATCTACAGTCTATTTAAATATTCCCCTCCATCTCAGTCCATTTTCCCCTAGACACCTCTTGAGTGTCAAATATAGGTCAACAGAAATGTCCTGTCACTGGACTCAAACCATATTCACTTATGGACATGTGTTCATTACGCACTGGTGCACAGCGTCGGCCACTGGCCTCTTTACCTACATGCAGGTGTCCCTGAGTGGCTCCAAAGACACATGCAAATCTAAGCAGACCTTTGCTTCTTTTAACTACAATGCAAAGCGACTTTGTGGGTTCAGAAGACTATATAAGGACAGCCAAGCCTTCAATAACTACTGTAGACCCATAGATCTTTGCGATCTTCCATACCAGAGCCGATTCATATTTATTCTAAGCCCAGAATATCTAGGTGTACTCAAAGTGACAGCTTTCGAAGTACATGATGCAATGCAATAAGAGCTTTTTCCTCCTTTTCTTTCGTCCTCAGGATGGGTTATCAGTGCGGATTTAAAAGAGGGAGGTCAGACAAGGTTGTGATGCATATGGCAAGGAGCCGACTCTAAAAGGCTTGAGCGTTGTCTCAATAAACCGCTGTGGATACATGCACATTCTAAACCATTTTCCTCATTAATATACACAAACAAAAAGCCCAGAAATGCTGCGCTCAGTCTTTCGGTCCCTGTAGACTTCCAGGTTGTTGATATGCGGGTGAAGGCAGCGGAGGTCTTTGCATGGAGGCAGCGGCGTAATCCCCTCAATGCGCATTGGTTAAGGGCAGAACGCAGATTAAAGCACGGAGACGCAAGGACTCATCTCATCATGGCTTAAACTGTGAGTCTGTTCTCATTCTCCCTTACTCTTGCTCCCTCAGTATCTCCATGCACGCAATGCAGGGTTCTTCCTTCATTCATACAATCTGCTATGGGACTGAATCTCCTGCCAGTCTGTCCGTATGTAAAGGTCAAAAGTACAATGCGGTCATGCCACTGACTCTCACAGTAAACACATCTGGGATTCTGCGTAATATATGTCTGATGTGTACCAAAATCTGGATAAATACCTGTTAATCGTAAAGCCAACAGTGGCCCAGTAATATATAATATCCTTGTATTCTAGTGGCTTACTCACTCATTTGAACTAGAAGCTGCATGAATCGGTGGTTTTTGTAAAACATTATTATTATTATTTTTTATTTACAACTTTTAAAAATAAATTTGTACAGTGTACCGTATGAAAAATGGACATAAATTTTTAATTTAGCTAAATATTACATTTAACTGTTAAATTGTTATGTTTTTAAAGATTAATCTTAAGTGAGCATTTTAGGTGACAGCAAATTGTAAAGTAGGGGAAATGAGCAAGCATAATTACACAATACAATACTATAATCAAAAGTTTGGGGTCAGTACAGTTTTCTTTAAGAAATGTATACTTTTATTCATCAAAGATGCATTAAATGGATCAAAGGTGACAGTAAAGCTGTTATAATGTTGAAAAATACTGTTTATAAAGTGTCTAGAATCACAGTGTTTCTTCAAGAAATTAACCTGTGAATAGCTTTCTTATAATTGTTTCTGTATATTAACATAAAATAGGAAAAATGACTCATTTCACATTTACATGAAAAATGGGGGGGAAATGAGAGAATTATAAATGTTCATGCCCAAAAAATGATTGCCCATTACTAAAAAACAATAGACCTAATTTAACTAAAGTTTTAGAGAGTGAAAAGTCACTGGCATTTCCATAAGCAGGAATGCTGTTTTTCCATTTATAGTGTTTTTCTAGAGAGTGAAGTGAACAGTGGAAGGAGGCAGTATGGGAGCCCTGTGGGCCCAAAGCTTGTCTTTGAATAGCACACCAAGAAACTCACATGCACTGCCAATACTCAGTCAGATCTAGTTTACCCTTACGAAAAAGAAGTTTATTCAAGTGTGCTATTAGTATACTTCTTTTAAACTAAAAATAGGAAAGTATACTTTTAGTCTACTTTTTATGTACTTCTCAGAAATGGGCTTTATGTACTGAACAAAATTATTCGTCTTTCATTGAATTATTTAACATGTCGTCTAAGGGGTGGACATTCAAATGAAAGATACTCAGGTCAGATATCCATAGATCAATATCAGTGGATGAGAGTGTTCAGAAGCGATGAAAAATGTTGGTTAAATGTCACTCTGTGGCAGGTTGGCGATAAAAGGGACTATTAGCAGTAAAGTCTGAAAAAACAGCAACAAACAACTCCGTGGTTTGCTTAAAAAGCTAAATCTTTAGTACTAATTTTTAAAAGATAATTATGAATTTTAATTATACATTTTTTAAATATTTTTAACACGCTACTGTTCAAAAATTTGTGGTCTGTTGGATTTTGTACAGTTTTTGAAAGAAGTCACTTATGCTCATCAAAAATACAGCAAAAACACAGCAAAAACAGTAATGTTGGTAAATATTATTACAATTTAAAATAACTAATAATTTTTTTTTATTCTTAAGTGTAATTTATTCAAATGTCTGTGATGGCAAAGCTGAATTTTCAGCATCATTACTCCAGTCTTCAGTGTCACATGATCCTTCAGAAATCATTCTAATAAGCTGATTTTCTGCTCATAATAGCATCCTTGCTGAATAAAAAAAAAATGTTACTGACCCCAAACTTTTGAATAGTAGTGTATATTTTATAATTGTGGCTATTGTGCTCAATGTGGTTTGATAACATAATGTTTTTTTCTTTGGAAGCTGCTTTTTTAAAGTCTTAATGGAAATGAAGTTTGTGATCTTCAGGGCTGTTGTTATAATGGATCGATCAGTGGCTTACCTGGCTTCCTCATCTCTGGCTATGAGAAGGCGCATATGATTGGTTGAGGATGCTGCTCTAAGAATGTCCACCGCTCTGCAATCAAACAACAATATCAGACATAAAGTATTTTAAAAGTGCCTACGTTTTCTGTTAAAAGAGGTAAAAGAGAATAAATGACCAAAACATTACAATCCTTGAGGCATTTTCAGACTTAATTTTCTCTATAGCCATCACAAAAAGTTCACACAAACAGAATAGAAGAATATATTAATTAAAAAGTAAGAGAGCAAGGTATGTACCGTTCACTTGTCACGCCAATCAAGCTTTCACCATTCACCTCCAAGATTTGGTCTCCAGGCTGCAGGTTTCCTAATAAAACATTAATAAAATAAAAACCATAAAGACCATAAATAAAAGCCCATGAAATGACTTGACAAATATATATTACATACTATTCAGTATTCGGCCCCACTTTATATTAAGTGGCCTTAACTACTATGTACTTACATCAAAAATTAAGTACAATGTACTTATTGTGTTCATATTGTATTGCAAAACACTTTTGCTGCTATTGAGGTGGGATACGGGTAAGGTTAGGGACAGGTTTGGTGGTCTAGGTAGGTTTAAGAGTGGGTTTAGGTGTAAGGGATGGGTCAACAGTGTAACTATAAATGTAATTACAGAAATTAATTACAGATGTAATTACATGCAGGTATTTTTAAAATATAAGTACAATGTAAAAACATGTATGTACACAATAAGTGCATTGTACCAAATTATTAATTTAAATGTAAGTACATAGTTGTTAAGGCCACTTAATATAAAGTGGGTCCCAGTATTCTTTAGATATTATTCTTAATACTTTTTGCCAAATAAAGACAGACTACCGTTCAAGGGGGTTGGTAAGATTTTTTAAAAAGAAATTAATACTTTTATTCAGCAAGGATGCATTAAATTAATCAGAAGTGACAGTTTAGACACTTATAAAGTTACAAAAGATTTCTGTTTCAAATAAATGCTGGGGTTTTTTTGTTGGTATTTTTGCTGTTCTGAAAAAAGGTATCATGGTTGTAACAAAAATATTAAGCAACACAACTGTTTTCAACATTGAAAATAGTAATAAATAAACATCAGAATGATTTCTGAAGGATCATGTGGCACTGAAGACTGCAGTAATGGCTGCTAAAAAAAATCAGCTTTGCCATCACAGGAAAAAATAACATTTTAAAATATATTAAAATAGAAAATGGTTATTTAAAATTGTAAAAATATTTCACAACTGTTACTGTTTTACTGTATATTTTTAATCAAATGAATGCAGGCTTTGGAGAGCATATAATAGCCTCTATCAACAACATTTAAAAAAAAATCACACCAACCCCAAACTGTTGAACGGTAATATATACAATCATTAAATATGTAGTACACTTTGAAGGAGTCAGAAATTAAGGCATTTAAGAACTACGAACATAAAGAGCTAATTCTGAAAACCTAAATAAATAAATAAAGATACTTTTTTTCACGCTAAGGAAATTGCAAGGTGACTGTGATGTGAACTTCAATACTGTTGACCTTGACCAACAGCTCTGTATGAGAAATAAAAAGTAAATAGCCCAGAATAGATTCCCAAACTGCATTTTGGTTTAAGATATGGCCATCATTACTGTTCAAAATGTTTAGTGCCATAATTTGGCAACTCCTAAAGTGTTTTAGCAAACTGCAGCAGTAGAAGAGACAGCATACAGCCCTCAATTTTTTTTATTTCTGTAGGGCATATTAATAACATCTCTCTCAAATGTAGGTCAGGGTTAAGTCTTCTCGACCCCTTCTACCATCACTTCTGAGATATCTTGTCAGAACAAATCAAATCTGGAAAGGAACAAGCTGTTAAAGTCTCAAAGGGGTCACCTATGTCCTACTCACTTCACTTCAGCCAAATATCACCTTTCCAGTGTCAGATTTTACAGTGACCCTGGATTATCGGTAATGTGAAAAGCTGTCTAGATTCCCTCAGAATATCTGTCTGCCAGGTAAATACCGGCATGCTTGGTTTGTCTTTCCACCAAACCAGAGAAATCAGCCAGGAAGCTTACTGATTCTCTGAATGGTGAGCTGACAGGAATCGTGTGAGCGGGGCTAAAAACAAGCAAAGCCCCCTCAGAGCGCATGCGCCCATATAAGCTCCCATATACCCCGTGCTCGGCAGCAGCAGAATGGGAGACAGACACTAATTCCAGTCCGTCAGGGGCATTAACTGTAAGCACAGGGATGACGCTTCACACGTGAGAGACTTAAGCAGAGGTATACGCAGTGAGACAGACAATCTGTTTCGCAGAAATGTAAACAGCTGCACTGACACAGTTTCCTTTCTAATTTTGTGTCTGAATGTTCACATTTCTCAGGTTCAATTTATGTGTCTGTTATACTTCACATTCAACAGATTTCAGTGTAAATGTAAAGCTTATCTCTAGATGCCACAGTAGATGCTTAACAAGATTGATTCATTTTGTTTATTAGCAAAAGCTAATATAATGTGGATCAAAGCTATTTAATTTAACTCACTGGTCCGAGCAGATTTCAAGTTCCCATGCTGGATGACTAGCTTCACCAGCTACGTTTTGCTTTGTTTAAAAAATTTTAGGAGACCACCTGGATAAATGTTAAGGCAAACTGTATTTTAAAAAAAAGTATTTGAGAAAACTTACCATCACTGGAAGCAAGGCCACCAGGTAAGATCCTCTTCACATAAACGCCATATTCTTCTCCTGATAGTTCTTTAACACCACCGAACACTTTGATTCCTTAAGAAGAGACAAAGCATGCTTTACTCAAAGTAAAATATTCTTTCATACTTGTGTTTAGCTGTTGATATTTTTCAGTCAAATAAATGTAAGCAAAATACAAAAATCACACCGAGGTTCTTTACAACAGGACAGCATGGCCATTTTCATTGACAAATAAATGCCACTACATTGCCAGTATGTACTGACAATTTGCTCACAGGTGACTGTGAAATGAAAGATCTGAATGTTCACTATTGTTTTCTGACAAAACAGACTGTGAATCATCCTTTTTCTAACTAAACAAGAGGAGATAAAGCAGACTTATGTTTACCATGAACAATAGTCAGCTTTACCTGATGCCTGCTGAAAGCTTTAACTCTCATTTGTTCCCTTTTAGAAACCCAAAACCATTTCAATCAATAGTTAAAAACAAAATCATTCAACATTTAATATACTTTGTATTGTGTGCAATGTAAATTGTAGCATACACTTCCATTCAAAAATACATAATGGGGGTCAGTATGATAAAAAAAAAAATTATAATAATATTTTTATTTAGCAAGGATGCATGCAATTGATCAAAAGTGACAGTAAAATCATTTATAATGTTATGAAAGATTTATATTTCTAATAAATGCTGTTCTTTTGAACCTTCTATTAATAAAAAATAAATAAATACTGAAAAAAATATATCACGGTTTCCACAAAAGAATTAAGCAGCACAACTGTTTTCAACATTGATGATAAGAAACGTTTCTTGAGCTTTAAATCAGCATATTAGATTAATTTCTGAAGGATCACATGACACTGAAGACTGGAGTAATGATGCTGAAAATTCAGCTTTGCCATCACAGGATTAAATGATGTTTTAAATTATATTAAAACGGAAAACAGTCAATTTAAATTGCAATTATATTTTGCAATATTACTGTTTTACTTTACCCCAAACTTTTGAACAGCAGTGTACATTATTTGTCACTTTGGTAAGGAAAGTAATCCTAATGTAAATATGATAAATACTGCACCCCAGCTGCTGTAGATGTGTCCATTTGTGTCTGATTTCAAGTCTGATAATAGAGGTCTTAAACAGCTTATGTTCAAATGAGTCTCCCTAAAGTAAGGATTTTCAGCTGACTCGGGTCAGTATTAGTTTTAGGTATTACACACATAAGACTTTCAGAGCTTCAGGTATATGTTGTGAGGTTTGCATCCCCCCTGAGGTCATCAAGTGCTGTAGATGTGTCCATTTGTGTCTGATTTCAAGGTCTTAAGCAGCTTATGTTCAAATGAGTCTCCCTAAAGTAAGGATTTTCAGCTGACTCGGGTCAGTATTAGTTTTAGGTATTACACACATAAGACTTTCAGAGCTTCAGGTATATGTTGTGAGGTTTGCATCCCCCCTGAGGTCATCAAGTGGACTGAAATGAGTTTATTGGTTTTCAGGGGGCCACAGCAACTCTGTAAAGCTCCAAATCTCCCTGGTGACAGAATGATCTTCTTCCAGTGATGTAAACTCTGTGCTGCACTGAATTGATTACCAAGTGAGTTAAACACACAGGAATCCTGTTTCACTTCACTGAGTTTAAAGGTTTTGAGGTTAAAGGAATCTTTAAAGTTTTACACCGAATGAAATGAATGAAAAATATTTTCAAAATACTTTTTTTTGTGCAAAGAAAACTTTATTCAACAATTTCTTCTCTGTGTCAGTTTTCGATGCGCATTCACAACAGCACCACGAGTACCAAGTATTCTCGTAGCTTCATAAAATTACGGTTGAACCACACGGACTATTTTAACAATGTCCTTATACCTTTCTGTGCCTTGATCATGGTAGTTCCCTTGCTGTCTATGGGACGGTTAGAAAGCTCTCAGATTTCATCAAAAATATCTTAATTTGTGTTCAGAAGATGAACGAAGTTCTTACAGGTTTGGAATGACATGAGGGTGAGTAATTAATGACAGAATTTACATTTTTGGGTGAACTGTCCCTTTAAGAACAAGACGAGTCCAGTACAACATATACAAAAAATACTGAGTTAAAGTTGTGAAACGGAAGTAGCAACAGAGCTTTTCTTCCATACTGTGTCTTACATCCGAGAGAAACGGAGGGGCAGGGACTTGTTCTATGCATCGGTTGTTGACTGGACGGAGGAAGATTTGAATGTGAGCTTAAGGTTGATTGTAAAGCCCTGTTACCACCAAGAACGATAACTATAAAGATAACAATATTAGCGTCCACACCAGCGGATGATATCGTCTGTTTATTCTCAGCGCACGCGCGTCTGCCGCTTTAAATTCTCGAGCTTGTTATAGCAGGATGGATTCTGATTGGGTGTCGATGTTTTTATTGTTCATCAGCTGAAAAAAATCGTTCTGAAAGTGATTCCAACGATATCGTTTCTCTGTGCCTTTATTGCTATAGCTGTGGTGTGAACTCTGCTATTCTTTAATATTGAGAACGATTTTTAGAACTATATCTTTATCGTTATCTTTATAGTTATTGTCCTTGGTGTGAACGGGCCCTAAGAAAGGGGTGGGATTTAAGCAGGCAAAATGATTGTAGGCGCCCAAAATACATTGACAGAGAAAAATCTGACTTTTCACCCAAAGACCCAAGTATGATATTTTGATTAAAAATTAGGTGGTAAAAAAAACCTTTTCGATGAATTTGTTCACAATAAGATCAATAACATGTAATAAGAAAACTGATGAACTTAGGGTTCATCTAAAAACAATTATATTGAATAAACTCATTGTCTAGATGTCAGTGTGAACGGATGGCAGATCCCTTACGTGAGAGCAACTGCAAATCAATGTTGTCAGGCCATTAATTGTTGAAACAACAGGAACGAGCTTAGACGCCACCAAAACATGAAAGCCTTTAATGAGATGAGCATCTTTCACACCCATACCTGTGGATGATTCATTAGCAGGCAGTTCAGAAGCAGAAAATATGCTAAAAAGACACTTCCCTTGATGGACAGTACAGATGCTTCAGATTCGCTTTTGGTCACACGGTTTAGTTACACTCATGGAATAATAAATATCCTCTTTTTGCTTCAGGCTTATCTGGTATTAATAGACAGACTATGTATTGACACTAATTGAGTTTTGAGCTGGTATTGCATATTAATAGATTCACTTCAAGATAAATCTTCAGAGTTGGAAGCACTTTAATGAAAAGAACTGCAACTCGGTTATCCACAAAGCGCGTTCTTTACTAAACTCAAACTCAAAAAATGTCATATAACTCAAAAATAAATGCAAAGTAAGGACTGTGTCCTGGAAAAACCCTTGAATGCTTATGGCAGTGTCACACTTAAGTCTGTACATGATGGCAAATATGTGTTGTAAAATATTTGATTTATCGGTGCTGTTTTTATTCACAACTCCACTTCCTGAGTCTGTATTCATGAAAATGTCTCCTAAAACAGAAACGTCTTGTAACACAATGGATTGTTGACTGTGCAAGTTGGGATATAAGAAGGACAGGTTTAAGGAGCTTAGAGCTGCCTTCAAATAATGTTTTTGATCTATTGTGAAGAGGGAGATCAGGCTGCGGAATGAACAGGGGCGGATTTAGTGAATTGGGGGCCCCAGGCAAAATATAGGAATGGGGCCCTATACATTTCCTCACATTTTCCTAGATCAACCTTGAGGTTCCATTTAGTTGTTTTCAGCGTAAGCCTGTGTGCAAAGGCTGTCTAATTCTAAACTTTAAAATACATTTATTTTTAGTTGTTTTAACTACAAATTTAAATAAAACTAAATTAAAATAAAAAAATAATGAAAAGGCAATTATACATTTACACACCTAAAATACATATATCAGAGCATGCTCACAGATGAGAACAAAACAGCGTTGGATGAAGTGGATTAAAGCCCTGCACGGGTCTCAAATATAGGCACTAGCCCGTCTTTTTTCCCCTTTTCCCAAAAAAAGCTTATACTACTGTTTCAGCTATTAAAATAGTTCAGTTTTGTATGTAATGGAAAAGTGATTAGCCTATATTTCGTTTCATTTTTTTATAAAGTAAATTTAGAAAAAAAGGCAAATCTGAGATCAGTCTGAGCGCTCATGGTACTCACAGTACAGCCGTTCACCTGCAGGCGCCACAGACTCGGACGGTTGTCGTGGTAATAAACACCGTAAACTGCAAACGTTCGCGTGTCCACGCTTAATGCGCATATATGAAAAGCATTTTAGGGGGCCCTTGGCTTTTGGGGGCCCAAGGCGGTCGCCTACCTTTGCCTAATGGGTAAGTCCGCCCCTGGGAATAAATATAACAAAGACAGCGCAAGACTTGAAAGACTGGAAAACAACCGTACCTTAAACCTATCCCATCGCTTCTCTCAGAGACTCCCCCATACACCTTATTTCACTTCCCCATGGCCATTTGAGATCAGAGATGCATGCGGTACAATAGGCCTCATTAAAATCGACTAAAAGATGTGCTGATCCATACCTTTCTTATGTCTTGAATAATTCTTAGTAACCCTTCATTCTCAATCCGCACGCAAAAGACAGCATTTATCAAAAAAATTTGATTTCTAAGGTGGTCCTCAAAGATTGAAGACAGAGTGTTCTGATAGAAGACCTGATGGAATATTTGGTAAATTATACAAACACACAAATGTACAATGAAATTAATATGTTAAGAGGCACTTACCTAATCCATTCTCACAGTCTGTAAACTCCATAGAATGCACTGCTCGATCTGCTCCATATGGACCCATCAGTGTCCTGTGCAGGATGGAGAAAAAAAGCAGCATCCATGTTAAAACATGGAAAACTTTGAACTTGGCAACAAAGTAAGGCTTGTTAGATTCAGAGATACCTTTTTATGTGAAACAAACCCTTGAAAATCTGTTACATTTTAAGCTGGTGATTCAATTCATATCTGAATATTGAAAAAAATATATACACTGTGCGATTATGTGGGGGTGAATTTTCTGTACGCACTGTGCCTGTGGACTGTTATTAGTATCAAGACCAGTTCATTCCAGTGGGGAATCAGTATAAATCATTTAGCATGAACGTCCTGCTTTGGACAGGCTCCTCTTTCTCATGAGCTTTCTCGTGAATCTGTGTGTGATTCTGGTTTTTGAGAACTCAGTCACATATCAGTGATTATGTTTTAATAAAGTAATTTATTAAAGAAACTCAACCCTTTGGCAGTGGAAACATTGTTTTCATGCAGTTGAAAGAGGAATGAATATTATGAGGCCTAATTTTTAGTAGGCAATTTATCCGGACACTTACATTCTTTGGGCATTTTGTTGTTCAGTGACTTACCAGAATACACCAGAAAGATTACATGCTTCCAGCCTTTCCTGCAGACTCACTGCAATGTCCTTGAAATTGTACTACAGATTGTTTGAACCTAAGACTTCGCCTGAGGCTACAATTCAAGCTAAACATGCTTCACAAGAGTTACGTAACAGAGAGTGTCCACTGTCCCCAGCACAGCGCCCTCTAAAACAGACATTTAAAATAAGTAGGGGGTCAGTGGAAATCCAGAAAAAAAAATCTTTTTAGGGATGTTAAAGTTCCTGGCACACGTTGAACTATCAATGTGGGACTAATAATGGTTATTTTATTCTAATAAGAAATTTAAAAAAACATATGGTTTACTGAGAGTTCATCAAATGTTTATATATACCTTTACATTCAAGAATATTTATTAGTCTCCTTTTTTTGTTTCTTTTTTGGTTTGCTCACTGGAGATGTTTTCAATACATACTGTAAAAAGCGCTATACAAATACATTTGAATTTAACTGAACATGTTTACATTAACATACAGTTATTTTTATACAAAGTAAATATTTTCCAGATCACCTATATTTGAATTATTTATTTTGGATTTTAGAGTAATGGACATAGGCTATACAAGCCAATTATTTAATTTAGCAAAAAGCATATTGTCCTAGATATCATGCTTAATATAGTGCTCACATATGGTCTTTGTACATGAAAATATCCAGCTGCCTTTATATTTTACAAAGTGGGTCCCTTGCAAATGGATCATCATTTTGGGTGGGTTCTTGGCATCAAAAAGTTTAAAAACCTCTGGTTTAAAACGCATAAAGCCTAGCAAAGTTGTATGAATTCCACGAGGTATGTATGAATGGATTTAGTGAGTACGCACGAATACATTATAATCTCCGGGTGATTAGAGCACATTAATAGTACATCCTTTATAGTGTTGTGGATTCTTCAAAGCATATAGCGGACAAATGAAATCAATTACGCACTTTTCCACGCTTTAACTGCAGTCAATACCATTTGTATAAGAACGAATGGTGAAGTAACCGTCGTTCAACACAATTTACTCACGTTTTCCATTCTCTCGCCACTTATATTATTACCACGCTTTGTTAGTGACACACCTGAGCACAGCCCAGGTACCACAAAGTACCCCAAAGTCTCCAAAAACAGTTAGCGGACGAAGTGAAGACGCGCGTTATGTCGACGCTTCTCTCAAGACCGCTCAAGCGCTTATTGCTCACTGGAGCTAATGAGCTGAAAAAAACGAGTCGTAATGCAGCTCAACTACCACAAAATTACAAAACAAAGGTTTTTACCTGCTAATCATGACCGCTCCCTTGTACATGACCGAAAATGTAGGCATTTTGAAGAGATTTCTGCGCATCCAGCGGCGTGTACCGTATGCCCATTCCTCTCATGATCAGCGCCTCGCGGAGGTCCGACACAGCGCGAGCCACATGATTCACTGCTACAGCCCTCTAATACAGATGATCTTAAACATCACCAACTTTGCCCACAGGTTAAATCTTATGCAACAGAAATGAGGGGTAGTGTTTTTTATATAGATAGATTTTTGGTGGTTCCCAAACTGGAAGCCAAATATTTGCGTTTATGAAAGGACTGTAAAGGCTTAAAGGTGGTGTGATATACAAAGTGTTGCTGACATTAAACTATTTCAATCCAAGGGGTCTTTCAAGGACATCAGGCTGAACTGTAGTATTGAAATACTGAAAAGTCTTTTGCATTAGATCAAACATAATATGGGAATTAAAACTGACAAGCTACTGTGATGCAACTGCTTTATTCAAGTGAAACATATAATTTAATATGACTAAATCAACATTACTACACTTGGTTACACCAACAAATATAATTGGAAAAGTCTAATCAGACAGTGTAGCATCTTTTTCTTTTTACGGTATACTGAAGGACGGTTGTGATTTCTTAACTTCCTGATGATGGAATCACATTGCCACTGTAGCTATTTCACTGTAGTCATGAAAAATGGAAAAAAACAGGAAACGCTGATGCTTTGGGGAGAAAATGACATTTGTGCAAAAGCAGAAAACTCTAAATCCTTGTCAACTCAGAAAGACATATTTAATCTCTCGACTGTTTCCATTTTTAGCAAGTGTTATTGTCTATGGTCATCCCATGCAGAGCTAGAGTGCTTTCCTCTCGCACAGCAATCAGATTTATACACACATGCTTGAGGTAAAATTACACAATATCTGGATTACACTGTCCAAATTTACTCATGTTTTTGTATTCTTACAATATCAAGTGCAATGTTTTCAAGTCTTTATGTGGGCTTCTTTGAAATGACTAACTGCATTCATAATGTAATGAAGTGACTACCTGTTAAAAGAGATTACTGTCATTTAGTGCTCTACAAACAGTGTTGCTTGCGCCCTAGTTAGAGTCAGACTGACACTTTCCCTTAAATGCATTGTCACTGTGTAACTCCTCAACGTCATTTACCTCGACACATGTCCTGTGACTCAGAGACCACTTTTTACCGGCAACTTGAGCTATACAATCCAAAACAAGTCACAAGGTTGTACCAAAAGCCGCTAGATTAGCGACTTTGTAAATAGTCACAAAGGAAAAACTGGCCATCATACACTAAACAACTGAGGATCACGCACTAGACTTCAAAATTGTTCCAATCACAACTAAATCACTCAAGAAACATGTGCCTTGTTGTTAGGAGATGCGTGACAAATGAAAACAATATGTGTTCTAAAATCAGCTGAAAATATCAAACATGTTTGATCTCCTCCAACCAGATGGGATCATAGTCTGAAGCTAAAAAATTGAGTCTGTGACCATCATACACTATGCAATGTTCTATTAAATCTGTCAACTCAAATCTGCAGACTGACTCTGACTTTTGGCGACTAGCAACTTCTCCAGACTGTAAATCGGGGGAAATCAAGGCAAAAGTCATGTATTCCAGCCTTTAGAAGTGTGCTTTAGTTTGTATGCCTGTTCTTTGTGTTGTAGTTAACAGAATGCTACATCTTGGATAATGTTAAAAGTGAAATTCATCAGATGTCTTATTTAACAATATAAATAATGTATCTACTGTACACAATCTGTCAAGTCTCTGTGATAGTCACAGAGTGACCGGACTAAGCCTTTCTTGTGCCAAACTCACAGGCTGTAATGATGTAATTTGAGGATTAGCTTTTGCACACCGGGCCATGATAAGCTTTATTTTCAAAATGATCACACTAAACTACACAGACTTAAAGCATTCTGTCTGGCTTGCCTTAAATTTCTCCTGTAAATCCTCTCATGAGGTTAATATGTCAAGTGTGATTTGCACATTCACATATCAAGACTGGACAGAGTACTTTTGTGCACCATAATCTGCTAGGAGGACAACCTGTCAGTCAACCACGTGCAGGGCCAGGTCACAGTCCCACGAGACCCTTGGTCCCCCAAACTCAACCGCCCCTCTTCACAGACACCTCATCCAAAAAAAAATGTGTTTTGGTAGACTAAAATAAAACGAATATTAAAAATTAAAAATAGCATTCCAGTGTGTATTTACTGCTGAAGTATTTTAAAAAATATTTTACTGTGAGGGATAGTACATCTTTTAAAAAAGGTGACAGGACCTTACTAGGATAGTTCACCTAAAGTCTTTTTTTTTTATTTTTTTTATATGAACTCACACTCATGTTGTTCAAAAACTGACTTTTGTTTTTCTGTGGAACACAAAAGAAGATAAATGTCTCAGTGCTTATTTGTTTGTAACCGTTTGGTTAAATGATCATCTTTTGAAATCCATGACAGTTTGGAGCGACATGAGGGTGAGTAGATGATGTCAGAATTTTCATTTTTGGGTGAACTATCCAATTAAGACATCATATCTATTTGTCACAGCTTTGTATTTATTTGAAAAGCTGAAAAAATTAAATATCCTGATTAAGGTCTATAAGGCAGTATTTTGATTGTAACAGTAAATTTCACTGAAAGTAACCAATAAAAGCTGAAAAACGATGATGTGTGATGCATCCTTACAACTTAGAAACAAATGAAATTCAAATTTCCATGCCAGGCATCTTCAGACTCCATCTATCTCTCATTCATACTACAAGAATGATATAATTTTATAGGCCAACCAGGAAGAAGTATCACTCTGATTGCCTTGATAAAAAAACTCAAGAAGATTTTTCATTGGCTTTGTATAATCGCTCTGTGACCAACAAAAGTTTATGATTCTTATACATTTTGTTCATCTAGATAATCTTCACAACATATATGAATTTTGAAGACTATATACAATTGCCAGACATGTAAAGTTTACATTAAGTTATAAATGAACTCCACCGTAGTCACATGACTTCACTGTCACCACCATTAAGCTTACGACAACTCTTGGAAAGTTTGAGGTACAGTAGTTTTCAGAAGCATAATTACAAACACAATGAAAAAAAGTGGACAAGTAAATAGATGAGTTTTC